AAAAGGAGATTGATATCATAAAGATTCAAGTAGCTTTTTTGATTTGTTTAATTCTTAATGTTTTTGGAATTTTCGATCTTTTATTCGATCATCTTCAGCTTGGTTGATTTGAGTTTGGATATGTGGATTAGATGTGGTTGTTATTGTGTCGTGGTGTGGTTTGGGTTTGGTTTGTATTTGAGGTGGTTGGTTCTAAATTGAATAGTATGGGGTTTAAATTGTTTTCTCGAAATTGTTTGGTGTAAGGATGCGGGCATTTCGATAGTTTCTTTTCACTGCTGAGTAGTTTGTGTTATCGACTGGAAACATTTCTCAGAGATTTGGAACTTAAATGATGTAAATGTTACTCACGGGACATTGGGTAGTGGTGTGTTGTTGGTGTGAGATTGGGTTGAGAATAGTTGACCTAAATGGAAGAAGTGCAAAGGTGAGTAGGCGGTTTGTATGGTATCTCTGTTTACTTGTTTTGGATAGGATTCGTGGTAGTTGTTGTGGTTTGGTCAGAAACAGTATGTTGTTGGTGAAGGACTAAGGAGAATAAAATTTTCGAAATGTGGGAGTTAGTGGTAATATACATGCCCTTTGTGGTTTGTTTTGTAGTTGGTAGTTGGTTTGTTTCTTTTTTCTGGGCTATCGATAGTCCATCGGGGTAAATGTATAATGGCATCGATCTTTCGTTGATGTTTAATTTTGGATTTCTTTTTATTATTAGTAGTGATTCTTTAATTATAAGACGATAGCGATGGTAGTCTGCGAGCAAAATACCAAAATCTTCATTATTAAATCGATGTCCAGTTGCTGCAGAATGTTTCGATATGGCGGATTTTGGTATAATATTAACAGTTTTCTTATCAACTAGAGTTGTGTTGGTTAAGATATCATCGATTTCATCATCGGTAAGTTTTTTATGAATCGTAGTAATATTCTTGGTTTTCGACTCCGTGATTTTAACCTTCTTTTGTACTTTATTGTGGTTTAATACAGTCGTGGTTTTTGTTTCCCGTGTAAGTATTGTCGACAGCTTAGGTAATAACTTTCTTTGATTTAATAACTGCTGGTTCATTCGACTTTGCGACCGGGTAATCATATGAAAAGTACTGTTAATAATTAATTTTTGAGGTTTTGCAGTTGTAATACTTGTTGTTCTTTGTGGTTGAGTTAACGGAGGCATCACTTTTTTCTGGTATGACAAATGTTCATTGATTCGTGTTTTCAAATGTCGACAGGTTTCACCAATATATTTTTCATTGCACACAGGACAAGTTGCCTCGTAAACAACGCCCGATCTCAATTCAGTTGGTATTTTATCTTTGGTCGTAAAGTTATGACCAATTCGGGCTGTTACATCATAAACAACTCGTACCTGCTTTAATGGATATTTTGCAGCAACTGCTGTCGTAACACGTTTACCATATATATGACTTGGGTTTCCATAATATGGTACTCTCAAGACTACGATATCCGTTTCAGGTTTTGGTGGTTTTATTTCACGTGGTTCGTATACTAAATTGAGTTGTCTTCGAATCACAGATTCAACGAAGGCAATTGGATATCCATTTTTGAAGGATAATTTACGAATAAATTCAAATTCATCATGGAGAGCTTGGTGTGTAGAACAGATCTTCATAGCTCTATAAGCCATAGATGAGATTGCACTGTATTTGTACGACTTTGGTACAAAACTATCCCATTTAGTTATCAAACCAGAAAAAGTGTCTTTGTGGTAAATTTTTGTGTGAAATCCAATACCGGCTTGTCGTTGGACAAGAGCATCAAGAAACGGAATTGAATTTGACTCCAAATTCTCTTTCTCAACGGTAAATTTTATAGATGGATGACATAGTGACAATCTATTACAAACATCCTTTGGGTCGGCTTTTGGGTCAATTAACACAAAAGTATCATCCACATATCGTTTCCAATACCCGATACCCATCAAGTCAAATAATTCTAGATGTTTCTTTTCAAAGTCTTGCAGAAAAATCTCTGCAAGAAGAGGTGCCAAGGGCGATCCCATAGAAACTCCATCTATTTGATCATACATTTTACCGTCGAAGAGGAAATGAGAATTTTTCGTGGCAAACTCCAATAGTTTCTTGAAGTCTTTTCTATCCATAGATGGTCGTGGTGTATTTTCATCATATAAATACTTCAAAATAATTTCAATTGTTTCATTAAGAGGTATATTGGTATAAAGACTTGAAATATCAAAAGATACCATCTTGTATTTTGAAGCAGATTTTGGTAATGATCTTAATTGATTAACAAAAGCAAACGTATCCTTAATGACCGCCTCATTCCGTATAATTTTTGACAACATCTTTTTCAGAGCCTTAGCAAGACCATAATTATATGTTCCGATGGAGGAGAGAACAGGACGAAGAGGCTTGTCCTGCTTATGTATTTTGGGCAACCCATAGAGCCGTCCAGGAGTAGATCCAATCGGTTTAGCCATACTCCAAAAATCTAGTGAAATATGACCATTGTTCTTTAGTCTGTTTAAAAGTCTCATCAAACTACTTTCTCTCGTGATGGTAGGATCATCAAAGAGACAACTGAACTTGGCTGAATCACTAAGGATCGCATGCATTTTGGATAAATAATCGCTTTTGTTCATTAAAACAATGCCACGGCCTTTGTCAGGACGAGTAACAACTATTGAATTGTCTTGCTTTAATAATTTGAGTAGTTTATAATATTGTTTTTGTTCACCACGAATCTGATATTGTTTTTGTCGGTATCGATCCGCTTGATGTCGGAAAGTGTCAGTTAAACTACGAAGATGACTTGCCAAAGTCATCTCATTGGTGTTGAGAACACGAATATCATTCGGTATGATTTTATTGTTGTCTCTCAAGTCTTTCATGAACTTTTTATGATGTTGATATATATCAGTAACGCGATGGAAAAATTGTTCAATATTTCCCACAGCATTCATCTCATCAAAACGTTTTGGCACTAAGCCATAATCTAGACCATTAGCAAGACAATCGATTTCATCATTCGATAATATTCGTGTTGATTGATTAGTGACAACTGTTGGGTCGACGGTATGTTTTGGTGCAGTACGTAGAAGATGACGGTGTAGTTTTTCTTCAATATCTTGTTCTTTTGTTTTAATGAGAGGACAACATATTAGAGTGATAATTTGCTGTAATCTCTCAAATAAATCTCCAGGACAGTATTGTTGCAGTACAGTAACTGAATATTGGTACATCTTCTTCAGTTTATTAAGATGCTTGTATTTGTAATTGATTTCAGCATTTAGTAAACGACGTTGACTATTTTTATATGCTGGTGATGCAGCTAGATTCCGGTTAGCAGTCTTGAACCATAAGAATTTTGGTATTATATCTTTGGTTCGACAAGACTTAAGAAAACGAATATCTAACTGGACTAGTGCAACACGAAGATAAAATTTCTTGACGGTACGATAATTTAATAATATACGATGGTGATGATTTTCACGTAAGTATAATTCGACGTTATCGATATTCATATTTATTAAGTATCAAGTAATATGACGAAGGTAAGTTTTAAAGTACTCTTTCAATATAAGTATCTCTCATATAGTACAATCTGAAATTCCTTCCTAATGTCTATGACAAAAGGTCGAAAGATATGCACTATAATGAGAGAATCCTCAATTAAAAGATCGTACTATCCTTTGACGTCATAGGGTAATAATAATAGTAATAGTAATACTACTAATGACGACACATTAATTAAATGAAAATAAATCTGATACTACTTACCAAAATAATAATATAAATTAAAGATATGATTGAATAATACTTGCAGAGTAATACTAATAATAATAATAATAATAATAATAATAATAATAATAATAATAATTGAAGCAATATGATTCTAAGCAAAAAACGTGAGAATAATATTGAATAGATGAATTGTTTACTTGAAAATCAGGATAAGATCAGTTTTATTCGACTATCTAGAACTGAAAAATAAAATAGCAACTGATCTTCATATTATCTCATTACTTTCGAAATATTTTATATGACAATACAAATATATTTTATAACCTTCATTGAATCCTTATATCTTTTATATATTGAAATATCGTATTATTTATGTTTCCATTCAATCAAAGCTTTTCAAACTTTCGGTTGGAAAATAACACTCATTCTTTTCTTTCAAATAATAAAATTAAAATCATTTAAATAGTGTTATATAGAACTTTATTTCCTAAAAAAAAACTAGAAACAAAAGGCTTTAGTGACAAAAAGCAAAAAAAAAACTAATTCATATAAACATGAACATGAACAAAAAAATCATCAGGAAGCTAACGATTCTTATTAACAAATTCTTGATAATGATTCTCATTAAATATATCGATTCCAATCTGTTCAGCAGCAATATCTTGATCATGTTGATTGTTGAACATAATTCGAAGAATTTTGTTGTAAACAGGTGGAATCCGAGAATATTTCACGTGAATCGAATCTAAGTATTCTTTAATAAGTGCAGCAGTCCATTGATGATGTATTTTTCTTTTGATTGTATGTTGTTGTCTTTTCAGCTTCAGTTGCTCAAAACGTTTTTTATTCTTCCGATCTAAAACAGCACGACTTTTTGACTTCTTATTAATTATTGTTTGATCCGATGGTAATGATAATGATGAGGTTGGATCTGTTGCTGATGTTGAGGTTGGTGTTATAATTGTTGCTGATATAGTTTGATTAACTTGATCGAAATAATTAATAATGGAGTTGATGATAAGATCACGAAAACGAAAATGTATATGCATATTATCCTGTGCCAGATGGTTGTTTGTAATGTGAAAATTAAGGATATTAAAATTCATTACAGCGGATAATGATTGTAATTGTTCATTATAAATATTAATATTGGATAATAATGATTGTTCGGTTGGAAATCGAGCAGTAGTTTTTGAACATGGAAAGGATAAAGAAATTGAAATTTTTCCATGTTGACTAAGATGAGGATAAGTTTGTTGGATAAAGAGAACGACTTGTTGGATTTGGGGAATAATTTCTCTTGCTGGGAACACTCTTACAGAATTGGTGCCAACAAAGAATAAGATCGCACTTGCTTCAGATAATGTGCATTTAATTTCTGGCAAGGATAACATTGCACGTACAGAAAGTTTGTCATCATAACGATCAAACCATTTTAAACCAGGAATTGATTTTGTAATCAAACTAAACGAGGATGTTGTATAAGTCGCTGGAATAAATTTCGCATGACTATCAGCCAAAACAAAAAACTTGATTGACGATGATTGTAGATTGTCCATCACTAAAATATATTTAAAAAGCAGTAAGATAGCATAAAAAACTTTCAGAAATCATATGAAACTTCATACATACTATAAATATAAAGGATCAACTTTTTATCTCAACGCTCACGAATAATTAGATTTATACAACCAATTAAACTAGAAAGAGAGAAAAATACCACATTATTATACTAAAACACAGCTTTCATTCATAATAAAAAAAATTCTCTTCATGGGATTCGAACCACAATCGTTTCTATCAACCAAGAAGATGTCTAAGCCAATTAGACTAGAAGAGATAAGATATCTTCGCATCATATCGATCTGTATCATCACTTAGCAGTTTGTCATTTTATATCGACATATAACTAACGTTATTTCTGCTGCATTTAAGAAAAAATCAAATTATTTTATCAAAAAGAGAATAAAATTCCAAATTTATCAGAACGTGTCAGCGGGACAATTTAAAAATATCACAAATTCAAAGTGAACTAAATCCAACGAAAAAATGATGACCATACAACCTTCGCTACTGTCGAAAAATAGCCATAGCTACTAATCACTACCATAATCTACACCAATCTTAACAACGCTACCTTTTCATATCTTACAACTCCACACCAGTTATAACGACAAACATACCCGAAAAATACAAGAACAGCAGCAAATGACGATAACGAGAATACAATGAGTTAAACCAAAAAGATCAACCAAACCTGAAACTGAAAACAAATCTAAAATTTGACAAAAATATAGTAAACACTACTTGAAAGCCAAAATTAACAATCGGAATTAAATCAAAATTCAAGATACGTTAAACAAAACCAGGATCAATGATTCAGAGATAAGAGAAACCAGCCACTACCAACAAACGGACGAATTGAAAGGTGAAAACAACTATTCAATCAGATCAGACACGATAACCCCTACTAAGATTAAAATAACCGGACATCATATAAGAAGAACGAAAGAAACATCAATCATCTTACATAACCAGTAATATCCAATCCAAACAAAAACATCACACACGTAAGACGAATAACAACACCAACTCGCGATGAGAAACAAAAAAAAATAAGAAATGAATGAACTGAAAACCCAAAAACACCAAGCTACTTGAATCTTTATGATATCAATCTCCTTTTGAATACGTAGAATTCATGAAAATTATTGAAAAATTTCGTTGAAAATTTGAACATTAGTTAGTAGCATGCTGAATTCATCATTTTGTTGTAAAATTAGTAATTTGTAAACGTTGTCAAGTTCATGTTTATGTTTATGTGACTATAAGATCTTGTCAAAGTATATTGGTACGCTGAAGATGATCGAATAAAAGATCGAAAATTCCAAAAACATTAAGAATTAAACAAATCAAAAAAGCTACTTGAATCTTTATGATATCAATCTCCTTTTGAATACGTAGAATTCATGAAAATTATTGAAAAAATTTCCTTGAAAATTTGAACATTAGTTAGTAGCATGCTGAATTCATCATTTTGTTGTAAAATTAGTAATTTGTAAACGTTGTCAAGTTCATGTTTATGTTTATGTGACTATAAGATCTTGTCAAAGTATATTGGTACGCTGAAGATGATCGAATAAAAGATCGAAAATTCCAAAAACATTAAGAATTAAACAAATCAAAAAAGCTACTTGAATCTTTATGATATCAATCTCCTTTTGAATACGTAGAATTCATGAAAATTATTGAAAAAATTTCCTTGAAAATTTGAACATTAGTTAGTAGCATGCTGAATTCATCATTTTGTTGTAAAATTAGTAATTTGTAAACGTTGTCAAGTTCATGTTTATGTGACTATAAGATCTTGTCAAAGTATATTGGTACGCTGAAGATGATCGAATAAAAGATCGAAAATTCCAAAAACATTAAGAATTAAACAAATCAAAAGCTACTTGAATCTTTATGATATCAATCTCCTTTTGAATACGTAGAATTCATGAAAATTATTGAAAATTTCCTTGAAAATTTGAACATTAGTTAGTAGCATGCTGAATTCATCATTTTGTTGTAAAATTAGTAATTTGTAAACGTTGTCAAGTTCATGTTTATGTGACTATAAGATCTTGTCAAAGTATATTGGTACGCTGAAGATGATCGAATAAAAGATCGAAAATTCCAAAAACATTAAGAATTAAACAAATCAAAAGCTACTTGAATCTTTATGATATCAATCTCCTTTTGAATACGTAGAATTCATGAAAATTATTGAAAATTTCCTTGAAAATTTGAACATTAGTTAGTAGCATGCTGAATTCATCATTTTGTTGTAAAATTAGTAATTTGTAAACGTTGTCAAGTTCATGTTTATGTGACTATAAGATCTTGTCAAAGTATATTAGTACGCTGAAGATGATCGAATAAAAGATCGAAAATTCCAAAAACATTAAGAATTAAACAAATCAAAACGCTACTTGAATCTTTATGATATAGATTCTCTTGAATATTTACGTAGAATTCATGAAAATTATTGAAAATTTCCTCGAAAATTTGAAGATTAGCTAGTAGCATATCGAATTCATCATTTTGTTGTAAAATTAGTTCTTTGTAAACGTTGTCAATGTTCATGTTTATGTGACTATAAGATCTTGTCAAAGTATATTAGTACGCTGAAGATGATCGAATAAAAGATCGAAAATTCCAAAAACATTAAGAATTAAACAAATCAAAACGCTACTTGAATCTTTATGATATAGATTCTCTTGAAAATTTACTGATGGTTTGCATGGGTAGCATTTCCCTATTAACTAAGTGATTCATCAAATTAAGTTTTAAAATAGGATTTTCATAGAAAACTTCTCGATATTTTAGCAATAATATGAACTGAAATTTGATCCTTGTGAATCAAATTACACTTCAACGTCTTGTCCCCCAAAAATGTTCTACACCTGTAGTAATTTTTTTTCGAGTGTTTATTTAAGTATCAGAATTACTAAACTAAATGAAGAATTAATATGAAGATGAAGTGCAACGAGATGTACTTATGTAACAGCACTTCTGATATTTGTCATAGCTCTATTAATGAACCTTCCAATTTCTTTTTAAAGAAACGTTGTGTGTAAGAGACACTATCGAAAAATAATTATAACTCTAGGGAAAAAATACAAGTCATCAGTTGGCATAAATAATTTTGTAGCTTCTGATGTGTTTATTTAAATGCCTAGTGACATCTTTTCTGTCAAATATTTTTTGATTTAGAAAAATTCCAAACGAATGAAACATTTCTATTTTCGTTAGCGTGTCCACTTTCTCGCAATATTTGATCCTCTTCACTAACATTTCACAGTGAGTTCGATGATAAAAATAATGCTAGATTAAAGTTTTAACAATGTCAAAATCAACTTGCAAGCTATTCACTTCAAAACTAATCATAAAAACAAACGATAGTAAGTGAAAATAAACACATCTTTCGATCAATTATTTTCTACTGGAACATTTTCCGTAGTTAATTCTAAAACTGCTTCATTATTATCATCATTTCCTCCGAATCTCTATAAAGATATTGTTGAACTTGTTCTATTGTGTACAATCGATGAGGATGTACCCATTTCGCCATCAAAGATATATCGAGCTGAATTATCAACATTATACGCTGAAAAATGGGATAAAAATAGAGTTGATCAGGCTCTATCGGAACGTCAGCGTATATCTAATCCAAGAAATGAATTGATAACTGATATCAACTGCGAAAAACGCACTAATCTCAGATGATATCATTACTGAAACTCGTTGTTTGTATTACTTATCAGGATGTTATCAGAGGCTGTTACAACAAAGAGTAAGACCTTCGTCTGGTATTGCTTAAAGTCAATAAAGAGTATTGTAGGACTATTTCAAATCAATATTCAGCGATATGCAAAAGCTATTTATTGATCATAGTAAAACTGCGATTACTTTACCCAGCATGTATCCAGACCAACAGTTATCGAAACAATGGATAGACTTATTAATTGAATCTCAGAGTAAAACAATTGAACTAAATATTTTCTAATAGCTCTATCTAGATAATTCATTATTACTTGAGTATATTGATCGTGTTAATAATGAACTTGTCACATCGATGACTGATGAAATCGAAGTTTTCTATAAATATGTTTTCCATTACATACATAAAATTATTCAACCATTAGATTATTTTACTAATAAATTGTCTGTTTATATTTCAGTGTTATCTAATTTATCACCATGGGCGATACTTGTTCAAGTATATCGAAACCCGTGCTGATTTTTCATTAAAATCGAAAATAACTATTGTTCTCTGTTTAGATGATATTTTTCAATCAACCTAATTCAATGAGTGAACATACTATTCAAACAACATCTGAAACTGTATGGCAGGTAAGATAATGCATCTTAACTTTTTTCCTCATCGTTTATTGAAAAATATTCTTCTTTTATTAAGCCGATGAAAACATATCAAGATACGTTAACACAACTATTTAAAAATGTTTATTAAAAATGCTGACGCTCAAAATGATGTTTTACAATGGATTGGCGATTGTTTTGATGAGAATCATGGTAAAAAACTTTGTTTGAGAATAATTCATATCAACGTATTGTTTTTTATTTTAGAGAAAAGTAAAGAATGGTCATCGAATGATCCATTAGCAGCAGTAATATTTGTTAGTGATGGGTTCTTAATTAATCTAACTGTTATTCTATTGAATCTTGCAAAACCATTTGCTGAACCTTATTCACCAAAGTTATTCAAAGTTAGTTCGAAAACAAGAATAGGCAAGAATGATTACTTTATTATATTTATTTAAATTCATGGAGATATATCAAAAAAAAAACTGAATATAAAAATGCTGTTAGCTTAGAGGAATCTGATAGTCAAACTACAAAAGACCTAGACGCACAAATACAAAACGGTAATATATGAAAATCTTTCAAGGATACTGCAGTCTAGTCCTAGTCGAATCCCGAATCTTTTATTGATTCAAATAAGCAATGATACATATAGAGTATGGCAAATAGGAAGAATATATTTTCAGCATTTCATGGGATATGATATTTTCTCCGATTAGATCATACTGCATTTTTGAGTATCAAATCTGTGCTAAATGAACCTTATCTAATGAAATTATCGAATGTCTTGCTTACAACCACGTGTCCATGGCTTGTTCATTTAGCATCCTCTTCTTCAGATCCTAGTTCGACATCAAATGGAGCTGAACAAATGAGTATCCTTAAAATATTACCCTTAACATCAAAATCTAATCCTCGATTGAGTTACATTCCAGAATTTACTATAGAAAATATAATCGATTTTTTCAAGTAGAATTCTGCTAAATATAGAGGTTGCAGAAGAAAACACCCACGTACTTTTGTTCTTTGCAGTCAAACGAATCATCAATTAATGAATACATATATTTTATGCTTGTATTTATGGGCGATATAAATCGTTTAGCGAATGCTCACTTACGTGCACCATTAGCTGAAACACTCGACACCATCATACCGGATCAACAAGATAACGATGAAGAATGAATCGGTTGATTTCAAATTTCCTTTTTTTAATCTTATTAGTTTGATCTATTCGTATCAACTGAATTAACTGGACAAGCCGTGGCATTTCAGCAAAAATTTAATTGTCATCGTCCAATATATAATATACTTCAGTATGTTTCGAATGATGAAATGTAAGAAACAAATTATCGTAGAGAAAATTATCATTGGTGTATCTCACAGGTCATATAATGACCAACTTTTTCCACAAGCGGTCGAAGTACTTCAACGAATTAACTATCCACCGGAACGAATTGCCGAATTTCAAAAACTTCATGAACGTGTTAAGGTATTCTTTTTTTCTCTTATTTAATTTTATTATTATTGTTATTTACTAGACAATTAATGCCGAACAAAAACAAGCAGATGATGCACCTGACGAATATCTAGATCCGATTACAAGCATATTAATGAGGGATCCTGTTAGGTAACCAAGTTCTCACAAAATTCTCGATCGTACAACGATTGCTCGACATCTTCTTAGGTTAGAGATAGCTACCGATTTTCAAAGGACTTCGCTGAAAGAAAAATTACACTCATGTCTGTTACAATTTAATATGACTCGTTCGTTGTGAATTGAAAATAACATTTCAAAGTTTTTTTTTTAATGACCAAACTGATCCATTCAATCGAAATCCATTGTGTATGCACGATGTTATACCACAAACTGAATTCAAGAAAGTAATCGAGCAATGGAAAGCTTCAAAACATGAATAATTAGAGTTGTTTTATTGTTTTTATATAACTTATTTTATTGAAAAGAATATCAGTATTTTTTTATATATTTTTGTAGATCGTTCTTTTTTTTTTAGTTAATGTATTTATCATTTATTAGAGATCTTGCTCGATGGATTAAGAGATTTTTTAAAGTATTTGGGTGTGTATTAAAAATTATTTTGAAAGAAAATGAAGCGATCCTTTTCTGTATATTCAATCACGTGATTTTAAATCAAACAGAATTTTGAATATTCAATATTCTAGAATTACACATCGCTCTTCATCTGCAATGAATCGTGGTCTAGCTCTTTCTTCAACAATGAAAAATTGCATTCGTTTGGCTGGATTATCAGGTGCATTAGCTATATGTTTAGGTGCTTATGGATCTCATGCTATGAAAGAAAATACGTCAGATGAACTTCGACGAGTATGTTTCGATTAAGAAAGAAATGTTGTTTTTTTTTAAATCAAATTATTCGTAGCTATTTCAATTGGCTCAAACGTATCATTTGCTTCACTCGGCTGCTTTACTTGCTGTACCATTCGTCTCAAGACCACATATAACAACACCGTTATTCCTTGGTGGATTGACACTTTTTTGTGGTCCAATATATTATCATGCAATACGTAACGATACTCAATTTCGTCGTGTAACACCTTACGGTGGGATGCTTCTTATAGCTGGATGGTTATCAATTGCTGTACTTTAGGAAAGCAAAAACAGAGTTCATAGGAAAATGTATTAGACTTGAAGATTATAATTTGATAGAAATAAATGGTAAAATAGTGATTTGGATTAGAAATCGATTTTAGTAGAAATGTTTGAAAAAAGGGCAAACAACTATGCTGCAAAACTATCAATAAATACCATTTTAGAATGCTTTCAAGTGTTCGGCATCTTCTGTGAACTACATGAGTTTTCGCGCATCCAGAAATATTGATGTGATTGAGAATTCTTTCTATACAAATATACTTGCCTAATATTTTCATCGATTAGCAAGCTATTAAAATCTAGCAAAGTTTGACCAATCAACAATACTTGCTAGCCACGCTTTGCATTACGATTTCTAATAGCAAGAAGTCATACGCACAATACTAATCTCTAAACGTCGTTAATTAATAAAAGTATTGATTTAGTTAGAAATCTCTTGCGACTCAAACAGAAAAATTTTCCAAACTTCACCAAACACACAAATCAATGCTGCACGTATGCATCGGAAAACATCACTTCGTTAAGATCCACTGATTATGCTTTTGTTCCCATACGAGAATTCAAATGCTATTCATCCATTCTACAAGATGACATGGAAATTTACTTCAGTTCTTATTGACGCACTAGGGAATATGTCTATGTGATCATTTGAGTAAAACGTTTTTCTTGTCATCGGGACTCGTTTCTTCTCACCCGATAATTTATTATTCAATCGAAAACAAAATCCTAAGTTTAAATATATTCACCATCAGGTGTTATCCAATGTTGTTCGCACATATTAAATTTCATGAGTACAGGTCCCATCATATCTGAAGGTTGTAAACCATTACCAAACGGTCTATCAATTAGAAAAGATCCAAGCCGTAAGCATTCAGCATAATCATGCTGATTTGTATTGTCTTGAATAGATTCATCGGAAATAAAATTATCCTTTTCCCATGAAACCTTCAATGGCATGAGTAAAGACGGTGTGTGAGATGTAGAAGCAGATGATTCTTTTTCTTCGAACTTAACTTGATTTCCTGATCGAGAAATATTCGCTAGAGGAATTGAATGGCATGGCAGATCTACTGGAGATGTAACAGGATTAGCAACTAACAGTTTTGATGACGATTTTTCGAATATACATGAATATCGCACGAGACAAATGCCGACGCATAATCCACTAATGAATAGAGCAATACTAAGAACAATTAGTATAGCAGTAACAAAATCCAGATTGAATAGTATTTAGAAAAGGCGGTAAATTTTTTTTGCTACATTTTGTTTTGCATATATGTATATATATATATTTAGTAAAATTATTGCACAAAAACAACATCGAAAAATAAAATATTTGACATAAATAAAATTAAAAAAAAAGGAAAGTACTATACGATAAACACTAACAAAACTGATATGGAATGTAATCGACTAACGTAAATCAACTTCATCACCGTCTAATTGCATTGGTTTGACTCCTGATGTTGATGAAGAACCGGCATTTTGTTGTTCGTCTTTCTTATCTGTTACTGGAACAATCCAACGTTTCATTAAACGAACAAATTCAGGTTCAACCGTCATAAAATATGGTTTCTACAATGAAATTAATTAACTAAATAATGCTGTACAGAAAAAGTTTTTTGCTTTACTTGACAACGTTTACTAATTAAATCTTTATCCTCAAGATCAAAACCATCAAGTAACAATTCAATATGATCTCGTTCCTCCCATTGCTCGAATGTTGGATAATCTCGGCAAGCTTGATCAAATATATTTCTACCAGCTACGCTATCTTCATTAAATAATTTAAGTAAAATTCGATAGAGTATAATACGATTGAGATGATCAAAACGTTCCAAATCTGTTAAATGTTTTGTTACTAATTCAAGTAGTTCAGTTGTCTTCGGAAAGTTTCCTGTACGAATTACTTGCATAGCTGCTTTTTCATATAATTCAATCGCTTGAGAAGTTTTATCATCTTGTTCAGCTAGACGTGCTGCTTTAAGATAGAAATCAATTGTTAATCCACGATCGAATTGTTGAAATTGTGGTGCATAACGTTCATAAAGTAATGTACCAGAATCGCGTTGACCTAGATTATAAATGGCGAATAGGATTTTGTTAATTTTGTAAAAGAGACTCTACCTCCTTCAACATATAATTCTCCTGCTTTATTAAAATATTTAGCAGCTGTTGGCAGATCTTGTAATTGTTGTGTCATTTGTGCTGCTTGTTCATAAGATTTAGCAGCAAAAAATGTACTACCTTTTTGTATTTGTAAGTCGGCTAATCGAATTGATAGATCTCGGCATAGGTCATATTTTTCTGCGACACGATAGCATGTACATGCTTTGTCGAATTCTTCAATAGCTGAATCAAGATCTGGCTTCCATTTGGTAAGTGACGTTTTCAAATACTTCTCGCCCTGTTTGATATGTTCTTCAGCTTCTTTGATTTTCGCTGAAAAATTAAAATTAAACATTCTATCTAAAAGATAGAATAATCAATTTCACTTTCCAATATCGCACACAAGTAGTAAGACGCATTCTCTTTCTCTTCTCTATATGTACATACATACAGCCGTGGTATAGTACATCGTGTACAATATTGATATTTATTCAATTAATATATTAATAAATTAAATATACTTTTAAAATACAATGTCATATCATACATATAATCAATATGAAAGAATGTCATCAAAAGAAAAGGATGTTATTTGTGATTCAAATGATGTAATAATAACTGGTAAAAGTCGAGAAAATGTTCCGGATAAAGAATACATTGAAAATGATCTACAACAAAATGACTTAAACATTAACAACATTACTAAACACCCTTTTAAAAGACAACTTACCTCATCAAGCTATATCGGTGATAATGTTCCAAACGAAGATGATAATGATAATGATAAATTTATCCTTGTCGGTATGCAAAATAAACGTAAACAAAGACGTGTTGGTGAAAAAACAAATAAAGAAAACAATGACGATGATTTATTAATCATAGACCAAAATACTGCCACAACAACAAACATCAATGTAAATAACGGACGGATGTTTATAAATAGCAAAAATAAATCGTATAACAATATGAACAGAAACGAAAATTTTAACAATCAACAAATGAATCACTCCTATAACCGAAATACACAGGAAGACAAATACAAAAATAAAAACAAGAAATATGACATGTCAAATGATTCATATAATCAGGATCAAAATATTTCAGAAATTCAGAATGTTAAATTATCAGATGAACTTGATAAAAACCCTAGAATTAGAACAAAAGAAAAGGGTAACTTGGACATACATATTTCACAACATGCTCTACTCTATGCTGTAGAAAACAATTTTCCACCAATAAAACTAGGTTGTCAACCTAAAATTAATCTAAATCAACAAGGAAATGATATAATAAAAGGGCTTTTTGCATCTATTGAAAACAATTTTCGTCTAAAAAATAAGAATTATCATCATCCATTAGGATTTGACTATTGGTATCTGGATAAAAATGGCGACTTAACTTGTTACACTAAACATACTGAACTGTTTGTCTATCTATGCGATTCTCAAAACATTCCAACGCAAATCAGCAACACGAATATCACTCCATCAAGACCAAGACATCTACCTGCTCAACATTCTATTGTACTCAAGTTTGTACCAAATTACATTACAAATGAAGAAATTGAAATTGAAATTAAAACATCTGTTAAGTCAGTTTTTAATATCGAAGAAATGAAAGGATCAAGAACGGAAAAATCTCGTCATGTGAGACTTGAGATTACATCTATTGATGATTATAATTTGATTATTAATAATGGAGGAATTACTATAAACGGACATTTAATAGAAGCTCATGAATTTCTTTCTCCACCTCGTCTATTAATATGCTCAAAATGTAATGAACCGGGACATATTCGACGCAATTGTCACTTCCAATATGATGCATGTCGCCGATGTGGTAAAGATCGTTCAATAGGTGAACATAAAGAATGTAATGTCTGTTGTCATCGTTGCAACCAAAATCACCTATCTACAGATTACAAATGTCCATTTCTTGTCGATTATCGTCGATCTCTTATATTCAAACTTAAAGATCAACCCAATTTGTTACCACCTAACGTAAATATTTTCATTCCTACAGAATGTCGAGAACGAGGTGTTAAGAACAATCAAATATTAAGTAATCCTTCTTTCAAATTAAATAATAATTCAACAAACCTTAAAAATACTTCAAAATTTAATATATCGTCTCATGCATGGCCAACATTAAGTAATATCACAGGTGATGGTATTGATACTCAAATAAATGATGAATCAGTATGGAATGAACTAAAATTAAAACAAATTGAATTAAATAAGACAAATGATGAATTAAATTTAAAAGTTCAATTATTAAAAACTAAATATGATGATCACATGAAAAAAATGAACTCTATTTTGTTAATTATCTCACAACAAGTTAAAATTCAAAATGAAAGTATTGAAAGATGTTACACTACAATAAACGAAATATTACCAATAATCTCGTCAACTTTCGAAGTCTTTCAACAACTATTTACAAATCCTGGTATGTTAAATAAAACTGAAAGTAACAGAAATGAAAATCAAAATATTATGAATCACATCTCTCAGTCACTTGAATTCATTAAAAACAGAAATGATCTTCTCACTAATAATCAAACAGTACTCAACTCTCTTGTTGATCAACAAAATGCATTGATGATTCAAGGAATTAATAATTTGATTTCAAACAATGAACAGTAATATTTTCCATTATTCATCGCCGACAATAACTCCTGATACCTTGAAATCATTTGCTGGGACACAAAAAGAAAAAAAATATTTTAAGTGAAATAAGAAATGAATGGAATTCTCGTATGTCGATCTCTCAACTATGTAATTATTGGAAAAAAGTTCCCCCAAACTCTGTAAAACAAAATCTATTATGCCTCCTATATAATGTTGAAGGATTAAATACTCATGTTGCTGATGTTGATATTTTACTGTCAAGCTATAACCCCCATATTTGCATACTGACAGGCGTTGGATCAGCCATAAAGAAAAGCTTTACATTTCCGAATTACCTATCATTCTCTCAAGTGGGTACTAACTCTTTTGGCGGTGTTATGATATTGTACCACACATCCATCAAATGTAAATTATTAGATTGTGAAACAAACTTCATTTTAATTGAATTATCGCTTTCAAAAGAAACTTTTTATATAGGTGGATTATATGTTCCTCCTGGCTCTTTACCCCCTTTTCAATTACTATCTAAACATCAAAACAAATCATTCTATATATTTGGCGACTTTAATGCCAAACACACAGAGTGGGGATGTAAAAATAATAATACAAGCGGAGTACATCTTCAAAATTGGCTAGAAGCAACAGGAAATGAATTAATTGTTCCTCAAAAAGCAACATCAAAAAGATCTGACTCAATTATAGACTTTGGTATTACTTGCGACGCAACTGGTTGGACTTCAGAAGTACTTGATGAAGGCACTTCTGATCACTATCCGATTCTCTTTCAATCATCAATTTCAGTTGGAGAAAATTCGTGTTTTAGGATAACTAACTGGAAAATATTTACATTCTTTCTAACAACAATCTATGAATATTGGCTTTCAGTGGTATACAATCTAGATGATGAATCTTTTTTTAATATTTTTTCATTATTTCTCACATCACTATGGGACAGATGTAGCAACTACGAAAAAGTAAATAAATACCGTCCCCCATGGCCTCCATATCTTGTCCTTATGGCAAAATCTACTAATAGAGCTCGTCGCAAATACAGAAGAAATCGTACATTTTTAAATCTACAATTCTTTCTAAATTTAAAAGAATTATTTATCAATGAACGCAATCATATTCTAGAATCAAAAGCAGAAAAGAAATTATCATGGATATCAAATGGACACAACATATGGAAATTTGCAAAACCATCTTTTCACTCCTTTTCTCCACCATTTCATGGTCTCTCAATAGATAAGCAAAAAATAACCATCTCACAGGAGATCGTTGATAAAGTAGCAGATTTTTTTGAAGAACATTTTCAAGAACCAAAGCATGATGTAAACAATCCTGCTCATACTGAAGCAATAATTTCATATAACCAAATTGAATATACTCCAAATATTCCTCTTGAACAAATCACAATACTTGAAGTAAATAACGAATGGAAAAAATTTAAAGGAAAGAAATCTACTGACAGTATGGGAACGTCTGCGTATATGTTAAAACAACTACCTCAAGAATATATTACGATAATAACGATACTTTTTAATAAATGTGCGCTAAAGGGGAATTTTTTCGAAGCTAGTAAGCATGCAAAAGTTATTTGCTTATCAAAAGATGGGCTATTTCCAGCAGTAAACAAGCTTAGACCTATCTCATTACTACCAAATGTTGGAAAATGGTATGAACGTATCATCCACACTAGAATACTGAAATGGTGCGATCAGAACAATATCTATGTGGATGAGCAATCAGGATTTACTGCTCAAAGAAGACTTCAAACAAGAATCATTTCATTAATTGAAGATATTAGACTAACAGTTACAGCATGCAACAGACCCGCTCTTGTTGTATTTGTTGATTTTTTGTCCGCTTTTGATAGGATGTGGTATCCTGCTCTAATATCCACGTTGAAAACACTCGAAATGCCACTATCTTTATTGAAATGGATTGCAAACTGGCTGAAAGATCGTACGCTATATATTCAACATGGAGATGCCCTCTCCCGTAAAATAAAGATGTTTGTTGGTGCTCCACAAGGGTCAATACTCGCCGCTACTCTTTTTAAACTGCACATACATTTCTTACCATCGTGTTTCATGAAAATTACAACTCACCTCTTTGCCGATGACTTGGCGTTGCTATTTCTGGGATCAGTTGAGAAAAAATTCTCACACAATATAATAGATCTAGAAATACAAGCAAAAGATGTTATGTTTAATTTGGAGAAATATGCAAATAATATGTTACTACCTGTAAATGTTAATAAAACTAAAGCACTCCTAGTGCATAACATAATTTCCCCTCCGTTACCGCGTATAAAATATAAAGATCAAGAAATTGAATTTGTCTCTAAGTTTAAATATCTAGGAGTAACAATCGCTTGTAAATTAGGTTGGGGAATTTATTTAAATAATGTATTAAATTCTATAAGGAAAATATACAACGCAATGAAAATTTTATTTTATAATATTCCAAAAAAATTTATTAGTCTTAGACGAAAACTTTTCTTAGCTTATGCGCTTCCCCATTTTATATGGATGTTTCCAATCTGGTTCTTTCTGACTGAAAAACAGAAGGAAAAGACATACTCTTTATATTGTTCAGGAATTAGATTGGTGTATGGATTAAAAGGATGGGATGATATATCTACCATGATAATTAGTCAAGAAAAATCTCTTTATGATTTTATTTTTCGATATTGGTATAAATTTTCATATCATCTTGAAACAGCAAATGAAGCAACACAATATCAACATACCTGGACAGCATACCTAGCAGCTAAATCGCCTGATAAAATTTGGTATAGAAGCATGGGGTTGAGAAAAAATAATTTTTTTCTAAATAGACTTTCTGCGAGAGCGCAGCATAGTAAAAATGATTGGATAAGTTTTCGAGACAATCACAAGAAGCAACATGAGTATTTTAAAAATTCAACATTATATTTAAATATGTTTATTTATAAATACTTCTTATTACCACCTTAATCATTCTAAAACCAGTGTTAATTTAATTATGATAACTAAAACTAATCTAGTAATAGATGGCGCCAAGTATCTAAAGCCCTACACTATCTCACTCACTACTATTATATATGCATATTTTTTTCTATCTAAATGTTACTTGTTATTATGTTTTCTGCTCTTTTATAAATGTTACTTACTTACTCTTATGTTTCTGTTCCGTTCTGTTCTACTCTAATGAAAATGTTTCTTATGTTTTATACTTTATCTATTCTCTCGTCAAGTAATCTACTTTTCTCTCTCACTTCAAATTAACACATTAAGCCTAAATTATTACTATGGTACTGATAAATTTTTAAACTGTTGTTTCATAGGTAACTTATACATCTCCTTTATTTATCCTTCTTTTTTCCCCTTTTCTTAACTGTTATTTATGTGAACCTGTTTATGGCACAATAAAGTAAATGTTAAAAAAAAAAGATAGAATAATCAATTTGATGTTTCTTTTTTAATAATAGAGCAAACAAACAAAAAAAAAGAAAGAAGCCTAGGTTTTTCTCTCGAGTTTATTGGAGCATAAAAGAAAAGTTTGAATATATATTAGATGATGATTTCCATTTCACGTGCATACTGAATCATTTGTGTTGCGATTTCATCAGCAGGTACACGTTCATTTTCATGTTTTATTTGATTGTCAGCAAAACGAAATGATTGATCGAATTCTAATTTCCATCCGTGCTACAATAATGAAAACAATTCCAATCATTGCATCATACACTTCGTTTTTGTGTTCTTACTTTTTTCGTTATTTCGGCTAATTCTTCTGGATTATTTAAATAAAGAATGCGTGCAGCTTCATTTAACGACACTTGTCGATAAGATTTTTCCATACAATAAGCGATTTCATCACTGAAAAACAAATATATGAATGTTATCAAGTATAAAAAAAAAAGCTACCGAATAGTATTAAGAAGAATATCCATAAAGAAAGTGAACAGAGGCGATGGGACATTTCCTTTAGCAAGAAAAACCTAAGAAAATCGAACAATGTAATTCAGATTTATATGTAATTCTATGAATTTTTTACCTTGTTATAACTTCCTTCCATCAGGTACTGCTCCAATGAAACAGGGTGCTTTATGTATGGATTTGTTTGAATGATTTTTGGTGAAAGTAATTCCAATTCCTAGAAGAAATGCAAAACTTGTCTATTTCGACAAAATAAGATTTTCTACCGTATGAAAATCAGCTAGACGATTTTGTGAAAGTAAACAAAGTAGATTCAAACCCAGTAATAGATAACGATATGGTGATTCAGGTATTCGATTTCTTGATTTAAGAAAAAATGATTAATTAATTAATTTAAAAAAAAAAGAAAAACTGAACATACTCAAGATCAAAATAGAATGGCTTCAGTTGAGCAAGAGCTCGTTCAAATGCTGGTATATCACCTTTTTGAATTGCACATTGAGCAGCAATTTCAAGTGTATCACCTATTTACAGATATGTTGTTGTTTTTATTTTATGCATACTATTTAATATGAGAGATAAAACATACGTGCAACATGTAAACCACGTGTATCTTCACTCGAATCGGATGGATAAAATCCACCTTCGGCAAATAAATTCTGCGGAAGAAAAATAAATTTTACTTGATAAAAGCAAACAAGCACAAAATACTTTTAATGCATTGAGCAATTCATCGGTTTTGCCAACATTTGGAGGCTTACGGCTCCATTCATTTTTTAGTTTTTCATATATTGGTAAAGCTTCTTTTAATTTAGTATCGATTGCGGTTGTAGTTGCCATCTGAAAACTTCGAACACGGAATAAGATATTAATGTGTGAAGTTGTTTTAGTACTTGTTTGTCGAATAAAAAATTTGTTCGATCTCAGCTTTTGTATAACAACAGATTTGCTTAATTACTATTGGACACATATATCAACGATACATATACAAACAACTGCTGTTCGCCAGCGTCATCTACTGGCGCAGATCTTCGCGTATATATTGCTTATTTAATCAGTCTCGTCGATGCTTTAATTTGAATAATTAGATTTATAACAATATGAAAGGCAAATATCAAAGTGATAAATTATAAGAATTTCTTCCAGAATTTGTACAGAATCTCATCGATGCTAAAATAAAATATCTGTCTTGCTGTTACATTCATTTTCAATGGTAAACATGTAAGTGTAAGTATTAAAACAGTTCTAGAGAAAATATGCCCTGACCTTCTATGATTGGCAAACTCTTATTTTTCCAAGAAATTATTGTCGCAGTGACGGGAAGTGCATGTACCGATTGCGAATTTCAGTGTAGGCATTCACTCTATTTGTTGTTGTTGTTGTTGTTGTTATTCGATAAAATGTTACATGTTATAATGCATCTTATTGAATCGATTGTCAACGAAAAATAAAAGTGGAATGTCTTTATAGAGAAAAAAATCAATAAAATAGATGCTCGAAAAAGTTCTTAAAAACTATCAACTGAGAGAGTGATCACTGTTCACGCGCGATAAATATCTGTATACTTTATATGGAAAAATTCTTTTGAGATATCGAACATCATTATACTTCTTGTAGAGTAATCAAATTCTCACCGACAATTTCATTAATAAATCGCAAATTTCTGAAAAAGAGATTTTCAAAAGGTGTCGCTAAAAACCATCAATAATGCAAAAACATTTCCGGTGGTTGTGTCATAGCATATTGTAATGCGACTTCAGCGAATCATTGTTTTATTAGAGCATGTTTTTCCTTTCCACCGCAATATTGTATACATATCATTAATAGTTCGAGTCAGTGTTCCGAATCATGAGTGCACCAAGCAAAACCAAAGTGAGTGCTTCACGCACTTTATTTGATTTGCACGCTATTTTGCACTTTGCTCGAAAAAGTAGAATGCACATACTGCGCTCTATTATAAAATGTTTCACTTTGTTTTATATTTTTATTTATATTGGTTGTTTCATCTTTTAAATCGATTTTCTTATATACATGTATTATGTTCTTTGATTCAAGTAAATAGTCTTCTCTTATTCTTATTTCAGATAATGAATGAATAACAGTCATTTAGACATTCTCAAACATCGTTTCTAGAAAATGTTTTAATTCAATTAACTAGATCATCATTTGATCAATCAAAAGTAAACTTAAATGGCAGTATTATATGACTTTTTTGTTTTCTATTATATGTATATTTGGTGAACTATCGGGTACACCAGGATAAATGGACCTTTCAATGTTTGCTGAATAACTCCTTCATTTTTTATTCTCTAGGCTTGAAGTTTTCGCCGAAGATGCGCCATTCAATTCTTTCCAAAATTTGTATTAGATGCTTTTCTGTTGAAAGTTAAGTGAAGAAATTTAAAAAAACAACATGCAACACGTGCAAAAAAACCACCTCTCAAAGTAATTTTTAAAATAGACTTCGCACAATTTTTCCTGATTACACACAAAATGAAACGAAAGCGAAGATATTTCTGAGTAAATTTAAGTGTGCTCTTTCTCGATACGTAGCTCAGAATCCGTTGAAATTGTACTGAAGATCGAAAAATCTGACTTAAAATTCTTATACAAAATGGCTAAAATCAAATATTTGTTGCCAACTGAATTGAATAAAAAAATTAAAGGTCAGTGTTCGTCTCTGTTTATGGTATAGTAGTCATTTTCCATCAAAATGAAAAAAATCTGAACCCAAAAGGTGCTATATTAGGTTAGCTATGCCTCTTTTTCCAGCGGTGCCGAAACTGCTGATTGAAAAAGCTAAATTCTCAAAACTTTGAAAGAAAAGAGGCATATAGTACCGCGTATGGATAAACTTCAAAAAAAATTTCAATTATGATCGATCAATTGAGCTTTTCAAGGGCTACAAAATCCCTATATTGTTTAACTTTCATCGTTATTAGCTGACGAAAAACTCTGAAAAAACTATTTTTCAGGTTCGAACGTTTGTCGTATTATACGTGTTGAATATTCTTTTTTTAAATTTCTTCACTTAACTTTCAACAGAAAAGCATCTAATACAAATTTTGTAGAGAATTAAATAGCGCTTCTTTGGCGAAAAATTCAAGCATACGGGAAAAAAATGAAGGAGTTATTCAACAAACAGTGAAAGGTCCATTTATCCGGGTGCATCCGATTGGATGGATATCCAGATGTACAGATAATCCTCATAACTGATTTAGGTTTTTGTTAATCTTGTGACTAAATAATGATTTACATATGGGTTTTGATTATTATTTATATGTATACATGTACATAAAAGCCTAGAGTATGAAATATAAACTATTATTTCTTTTTTTCTAGATACATTTATATATTTTCACTTTGCTGCACTTTGGCTGTTGAAACGGAGTGCAACATCTCACTTTACCTGCTGAAAAAGAGTGCGAGATCTCACCATAATTCGAATTCTCATTCGGAACACTGGTTGAATTAAGCCATGTGACTGGTGCATTAAGAGTTAAGCAATGCTTTAGAGGTGATTTTAACTCTTAATGTATCAATCAGATTACTGAATAAGACTTTAACTTTATTCACATTTCCAGTGCGATTGGGGTCTTGATATCAACATCTTTATTTATTAAGTATGGCTACGGTCAACTGTACATATAGATCCATACACAGTAAATGATATTATTTTTCTTCGTTCTATAGAAAATAAACTTATTTAATTAGTCTACTTAGATGTGTTCATTAAATTATATTTTATGTGTTCTTTCTTGAAGAAAAATGAATAATTCTTATGTATATCTTCATAAATTATATTTTTCAGCATATTTCTATAGAAGATCGACAGACTATTCTCATGCTAAAACGATGACAGTCTGAAAACAACAATACTATGTAATAGTGAATACCATATTTTTTAAACCCAATTTGAGTCGAATCGAATCGAATGGCACTTTTGTCATCGGTTTCGCTCTCTGGTGTATACATCAAAAAAGTGTGTGAACTAGAAAATAATATAATCATTAAATGCAAGTAAGGAATCTTTTATGAGAGATATTTATAAGAGTTAATTGAAAGGTAATCATCACAATAAGATTTTAAACAGAGCATGAAAAGAAAGCAAATGTTTAATTGAAGAATATAAACAATCTAGTATTTTCTTTGCTTACGATTAAGATTGCATCTATTCACGTACATTTCTAATGATAGCTTTCTTGAGTAGTTGAACTATCGGCTTTGTCTTCAACATAGACAAGCCGACAGGCACGATTGCGCGAGTGTTTCTCAACACTAATTGAAAAAAAACAAAGCGCCAGAATGCTCAGAAAAAAAGTAGTTGCTCCGTAGTCTGTTTAGCCAGTTAAAGACGAACAGCATGAGCCACAATTTGGTCGACTAAGTCCGTGCGTCAATAGCAATCGATACACATACATATATGTATGTATGCATGCATGCGTATTTTTTTATCTTATCAAAATAAATCTCTATGCGTATGTGGTCCAATCGCGATTATAATAGAAAGGTCTGGTGGGTTAAAACGTAAAACACGATGAAGCTCCTTTTCTAAACTCCGTCTACTATGATCTGTGATAGTCTATGGAGCTTCTCTGTCACGGTCTATATTATGATGGATGGAGTATCCAGTAGTCTCAAACTTGAAATTTGAATTCAGTTGAAAATAGAAAATTTCAACTTTCAACTCATAGCAATATACTGTGTGAGTCACGATTCTTCAGAATTCTATTGGTTCAAAGGTTGAAAATTTCAATTTTCACATATATGCGCAATTCAGGACGGTAAAAATAAAATAGTAAATTTCTCGGTCAAGATTCTGTTTTCTTCAAGTTGCAACATAACATTCAGATTTTTAATTAAAATGCTGTCTCAGAAGAAGCTTTACAATGATGATTTGTTCCAGCTAGAGAGGGAATAAAAATTTTAAAAGTAAAGTCATTTTCCCGACGAAATAAATGCCGGATTTCGCTTATAATTACATTCTTACCTTGAAAATGTGATTAGTTCTGATATATCGGGGTACAAAAATGATTCAATCGATACGTTTCTTTGATGCGCAAAGAGATGTGACTAGGGGTGTACAGCTCACGCTCATGAGCGCTCATTTGAGCGTGAGCGCTATTTCGCTCACGCTCGCGCTCATCGCGAGCGGTCAATGCTCACGCTCATATGAGCGCTCATGAGCGTGAGCGTTTCTTTGGCATAGAATACGCGATCGCGTCTGGACATTTTTATCTAGTCTATTCCTCGAACAACAATATTCAAAATTTTTGTACATGGGGTCCCCCTCAGGTATCGCGAATATAATTTGTTTTTGTTGACGAGCCAAAATAGTAAGAATTTGAACATTTAAGAGTGCTGATGACGAATATCATCGTGAGAACTCTCAAAAAGCTTTTATTTGTGAAATAGCTTTAATCTAAAATAAAATAGACTAATCAAGAATATTCTCTTTATTATAATCATTGAAAGTATCGTCGACATCGATACATAGTTGTTTATGAGCTGTGCAGGTTGATTCTTCAGAAGATACTGTTGTTGTCGATAATATCGATGATATTCGTTCCTTATTAATTCGTTTACTTATATATCCTTTCAGAATATCAAACATTTGATATGAATTAGATGTCACTAAGCTGCAAAAAAAGTCGGGTTTTTCCGGAGTCGGAATCGGATTCCGGAAAAATTTCTCGCCGGAGTCGGAGTTGGAATCGGAATCGAAAAATTTTTTTTTTCGGAATCGGGTCGGGTTTAGGAATCAAAAAGTGCGACTCCGCTGATCTCTAAACAGAACACATTTTGCTTGGTGTGATTATTATTCTGCGTCATACTTATCTATGAAGATAAAACCTATCGAGAGTATATGCGTTCATAGTCGTCTTCTTCTTCTTTTTTCTTTCTTATTCATAGAAGTATGTTTTAGAAATAAATATAGTCTATCAATGTCTCTGATCTTAAGTAGTATCATAAGATAATAGGACATGACAGTATTATCTTTGATTGGTCCATTTAAATTATCAGTGATATCGATTCAATGTAAAATGTGAAAGAACTCGAAATATTTTATTCAAAAATCAGATTTTATATTTAACATTTTAAAACGCCATTTAATTGGCATTGAAGACTTTTCTAAGGTTAATTGTTCTTTTGTAGTAGTCAATGATAGATTACTATCCGAATGATTTATTTGTGTTGATGATTGATCGAGAATATTTAAAACAGTTGGCTGCTGAGTTGATGTTAATTCATCATATTCAAATAATGATTTGTCTTTATCGTTTGTTAAATGACCGAATTTTCTTGTTAACATGTTAATTTTTGCATGTAATATTTCATTTTCATTAGTTAATTTTGTTAACTTATTTTCTAATACAAAATCATTCATACGTCTTTTAACACGTGTTCGTTTAGAAGAAAAATTATTTCTTGATCGTTGTGATGGATAACTAGCATTTTGTTTATCATTTTGACTAGATTGAGTATTTAATAAAATATGTTCGTCTTGAGAAATGTCCGAACTTGAACAGGATGGTGACAACGATAATGTTGTACCATGATGTAGGTGATTGTTAATAACAGACGGTGGCGAAGACATGGTACGAATAAATTATTCTAATGAAACATATATATATATTATTTTATGTGAACGAGAGTATTTTACGGCAGACTCAGGACGACCAAGATACTATGCCTACTCGTCATCTGTCTGGACATAGAATGTTGTTCTCACTTTTTTTTCTTTCTTCTTTTCTCTTTTCTACATATTGAACGGACCATGATGATGAACAACATGTACCTCAAGTAAGAGCAAAGAGAAAGAGAAGAGGAGGGCAACAGACGCTTATACATAGACTATATACCAACGATCGATGAATGGCGAGACGATTGTTTCATAATGAAACAGCGCAGTTTGCACTTACCAAAATGAGAACGATAGAATAAGGTCAAAGAATACATTTGATCTTTGCTTTGTCTAAATACTTAATTAATTGTTCATAAATGCAGATCTGTAGAAAGAAAAACGAATATCGTTATTAGCAATGAAATAGAAAGAGGACTAAAAACAGATAGAATAAATCGATATGATTACACTGAGTAAAAAAGGTACACTGACGAAGATAGTATAGTTATTCTTTCTCTTTCTTTTTATTCGTTGTTTGTTAAAATGATAAGAACTTTTTTCTTGGGCCAAAATGTGACTAACACTTATAACAATAACAACAAGGAAAAAACAGCACTAAAATCATCTCTTTGCATTTTTCATCAAAATGGCTATGTTAGGAAAGGTGGTTGTTTGTTTTTAATGATGAAGCGAATATTGGTTTTTTTGAATAGCTTTTCCTTCTAATTAGTTCGATGTACGCGAGGATCCTGAACAAAAAGCAAAATGTGATGAAACAATGGAATTATTATTAGCTGCTGGGTATTTTCGTGTGCGCATCAAAGGTCTCTCTGACTTCGATAAAGTAGTGTTTTCTTTTAAATATTCTCAATGAGATGTATCGCTCATCAATATTCATTTTCAAGGTAGTCGGTGGGCTAGCCTGGAGCATTCAAGCATGTAATTTTGCTGTTGATATTGATGTACTCTATCAAGAAAATGCTACACTCGGCCAAAAATTGTATGAAAATAAATGTTTAATATAAAATAGATGATCCTATTATTTTCTTTTTCATTTAATTAGAGAATTAACCGAACGTATTATTCTTGTATTATCACGAATGAAATGTTCACATCGTATTGAACCTCATCAAATTCAAGGAGAAGATTTCATACACATATTTCCTGTTGTTCAATGGCTTGTTAAACGAGTATTTGAACGACGTGCTGATATCGGAGATTTAAATCGTGCTTATGCATTAAACCAATATGATAAACAGTTTAATGAGGCAGTCAATGATGTAAAAAGAAAAACCTTCTTTTTTGATTTTTCTAATTAATAAATTTGTATTTATACAGACTGAATCAATGCCATTCAAAGAACATATTCAAGATATTCGAGTAAATTATCATTTTTGAAAAAAAAAAATTTGAAACGAAATTCAATTAAGATTCGCCATCGTCCTAAGCGTCGTTTTCGTTGTTTGGATAGTAAAAAAAAGCAATTAAATAATACCGATGAACGTCGTAAGCGAGTACATTCAACTCTTGTTGAGTTCGGTCAAATGCATCAATTATTAAACACATCGGCAGGAAATGAAAAACCCGAGCAAGATGTTGATGCATTAATTAAAAATATGGTTGATGAAAAAGTAACATTCTTGTTCTTTCCTAGTTTTCAGCTCAATCTCTTTCAAATTACATTGTAGTCAAAAATTGCTACGCAAATTGTTAATTCATTGGTTACTCAACAACAAGATACACTACGTGGAATAATTGAAGATTTCGAAGAAAAAGTAATTTAAAATAATATGTTTATGTTTTAGTAAAATATTATTTCAAAAGGAAAAAGCTCGTCTTGAAGAAGCACTTCTATCTGAAGGTGGTCAACAACAATTGGCAATACGCACATTTAAAGTTCAATTAAACAAACAATTAGAGCGAATAGGTAAATTGCAAAAAGATATAGATGAACTACAAAACAGAAAAGAGCAAACAAAAAATTCGGCACTTGAAGTAAGTATTCAATAATTAAAAAGCAAATAATAAACTATTTTAATTACACTAAAATTTATTTTTTCAAGGTTAAAGAACAATATGAAAAACTTCGAGAAGAAATTGAAGAAATTGAAAGACAAACGGAAAATGTTGATCCTGAGTATAAAAACACAGATATCTTTCTTGCATAAAGATCATCAATTTTTTTCGTTCCTAGAGCTCTAAAACGAGTTGAAGCGCTTGTGGCAGATTATGAAACAACAAAAAAAGAAGAAAATGAACGACGTACACTATATAAAGATGAAAAAACTATACTTGAAGAAGAACTTGAGAAGTTACAAGCACGTTTAAATGCATCATCCGATATGGATACTCCTGAGAATGAAAAAATGAAACAAATTCAAGAACAATATCAAGCAGTATCTGACCGGATACAATCACAACGTCTTGTTATGGTAAATTAGTTTTTTTTTTTTTTATTATAGTATGAAGACTTTTACTTATAAACAGATTAAACAGTTATTGGATAGTTTTAAGGATTCGTACTAAAAATATATATGTTGTCTATTGATTTTCAAATTGAAATTGAATGAGAATAAAAGTTTTGATGATGAAAATTTTTAGGCAAAAAAAGTACGGGAAATATCGGCGCTTAGTCGACGTATCGATGATATACCATCATCAAATGAACTAGCTCAATATCGTCAAGCATTTTTTCAATTATTTAATCAAAGTGCAGTTTTATATCGGCAAACAAAACAAAATTATACATTGTATAACACGTTTACTGATATGATTGATTATATGACAAAGGAAATAAAACTAATTGAATCGATTCATGAAGGTTATCCACAGTAAGTTATACAGAAGTTTCTTGCGCGGATATAAAATTTCTTTTTTTTTTCTTAGAGCAATCGGATCATCATCTTCAAGAGAACATTTTCTTAAACAATTAGAAAGTATAGCTGAAAGCGTAAAACAAAGCCGAATGAAAATTGAACAACGACAACAAAAAGAAAAATCAAAACGTGATACGTTAAAGATACAATTTGCTCAATTAATTGAAAAAGCACGACAATATGCAAAAGTTCTGAAGGATTTTCAAGAAGTAAATTTGTCTATCGTTCGAATTAAATTACTATATCTATTCGTTTTAGGCTATTCGAGAAAACGAACATCTTACATCGAAACCTAAATAGAACAAAAAGATCTATTTTCTTTTTTTCTAATGAATCAAGTGCTTTATAATGATCAATCATTACGAGTGATTTACTTTTTAAATAAATAACTAGCTAGACATTCATCAGTTACAGAATTCTTATCAAAGAGAATTAAAAATAACGCCCATGATTTCATTTTATAAACTAATGTCTATATTTAGCCATCATCGTAAACACTTCAGTAAAATAGAAAATTGTGAATCTTCTTTTGTGCCATATCGTTCTATTATTGTTTCGCAAAATGAATATACAGAAAAATAAAACTCTGAATTATAATGCAATTACTTTCCATTTATTTCAATCTGTAAAATTCACAATGTCACTTCAAATTTACACTATAGAACTCTTTCCCTTTTAACATGTTGAACAAGAAGAAAAGTAATTAAAATAGCCGAAAATAATATAATAATATGTATGCAGTCAGACGCAATTACAATAGTATTGTATCTTAAAAGTATTCTTGTTGTTACGTCCAATGTTGTATAAATCAATTTAGCAATGCATAAATACCCTGATGCTTGTATGACTTGCCATGGCGTTTGTTTTCGATACACAACATAAATACACCAACTTAACATTAAAATAACGAATAGACTATAATTACACCAATAGATAATATGAGCTAATTTTGTTTGAAAAGAAACAGAATAAAATCTAAGATATTTTACATGTACAATAAGATGAGGAGCATAACACAATGAACTACATAAATGAAGTAAAATCAGTGATATACGATATGAATGCATATTGAATTTGTAAAAGTGTGATGATGAGCGCGTCGTCTGATGTCGAGAATGAATGCCGTTGAGAGTTTCTATGTTTATTACGATATTTCTCATGAAACCAGGAAACAAATAGAAACAATGAAAGAACGAGAAATAATAGAATTTCTTTTCCCGATATATGTTCGATAAGAAGTCCTGACTTGACAATTACTAGATCATTTTACGAATAATTTTCAAAGGGAAGAATAACACAGCTATATACAACCGGGGAGGGGGGGGGGGGGGAAAAATAATTTATTTTTTACAATTATTTATTTTTTTTAT